TTATTGCTTGTTTATTTGCTTCCATGTGAAGTGAATGTATGCAGTCTTCCCATGGCAAAGGGAAGCTGCATATTTATATTTAAAGGGAAAAACACTAACTGACATCAGAGAACTATAACCCTGAATTTACACTTGGAAGAGAACACCATAATTAGTAATCAATACAAAGAGTTTAGGAGGAGGGCAGTTTTTATTATACCAAGTCCTGCTTAGATGCCAGTCTGAAAAGAAAGGTAACTCAATCCTTTCAAATTTGTGTTTATATAGGACCATATATGATCTAGAAGATATATAGACTTTTTTACTACCAATAGGACTGTTATATTCAAATGTAGTTACCACTGCTGATGGTGAGACATTCACAAAAGAACTAAATTATTGACCCTTGAAACAAACAAACAAAAAAGAAAACAGAATGCTCTTCATCTTATTCTAGTAGCAAGGACATAGAAAATTTGAGACAGAGGAGAAAGCAATTCTCCAGAGAACTGGGCCCCCATTTAAGGGCTGCCTTGCTGTAATATATGTGCACAGGAAGACATATCATGTAAATCAGCTTAGCTTCATGTGTTGGAGTATCAATAGCAATATGTAAATAGATGTTTGTGTATGTGCTATTAATACATATATATCTTGACATATAAATATGTAATCAAAGTATATAATAATAACTATATATATGTTATTGATTGTCTTCGAGTCGAGCACAACTCATAGTGACCCTATGAAAAAAGGCCTGAAGCAGCTCTACAATCATTAACATTTATCAAAATTCATAGTTTCTGGAGCCATGTCATTTAGGAAGTGGATGCCACTCCTGCTTCCAAACCTGTCATAGTATGTTATTACTGTATGTGCCATATGCAATAAAAACATATTATCAATCTGCATTATAATTAATACATGTTGTTGAGTACCATTGAGTTGGGACTGACTCATAGCTTATCCTCCAGCACATTTTCAGAGGCAGTGAGTCACACAGGAGGAGAGTGACTATCTCTCTTCTACAGAGCAGCTGCTGATTTTGAACTGTATACCATGGGGCTGGCAATGCAATTTCTTACCACTAAGCCTCTAGCATTCCCTCATATTATGTTCTCTTGCTATGAAATAAGCACTTAGAAAAAAAAATTAGAATATATTTTAATTTTCTCAAATATATTATGTAATCAATATGCAATAAATGCTTTTTATCAATATATGTTATAATCAATATAAATTAACAGTATACAGTCTAATCAATACATTTTGCCAATATTTTATAATACTATAACTAACATAAATTCAATAAATATTATCACACAGAGTCTAGTTATAGAGGGTTCCTAAACATATCAAATAACTAGTTTGCTGGCTCAAGGGCCTTGAAAAGATCATTTGGGAAATAATTTAGTCAATTGACATAACCTAGTTCACAAAGATATGAATAGTCTAGCTTCTACTTTGGCGAGTAGCCTCTGAAATCTGTAAATCTTATGAGCAGTCATGTAAGATGTAACTATTGGTTTCTACTCTTATGAAGCAAAAGAAAACGAAGGAAATTAAAAGCAGAAAGAAGGAACTAGGCAATGGAACTAACAGTTCACAGTAACGACAGCCTCTAAATTGATACCCTAAGACCAGAATTATTAAATAGTGTGGCCTCCATTATCACCCTTTCCAGCAAGGAAAACAACGGAAGGTCACAGATGGAACAGGACAAAAATATATAACAAAACTCAAATTCTTAATAAAGATCAGGTCTCTTCAACCAACACTGACTAAAGAAACCCCAAGACGACCCTCCTAATATTTGCTTTATACTTGAAAGGAAGCAGGGCACCTATCAGCCATACAATAGGTAATGTACAAAATAAGCAATATTTCCTGTGAATAATATGTTCTCTTAAACAATTAACTACACTCACTCCTCATTACCTTTCAAAAGACCAAGTGATACATGAAAATCAGCCTTAGGTGAAAGTGGAGGATAAGTATGTGATATCACAAATGTAGAATAACTGCAGCAGTACATAACTGGCAAATTACATGATTATATGACAGATTACTAAAAATCATGGCCCAGCCAACTGACATATAACATTCACTGTCCTAGCCAGTGTTATGTTAACCTCAAACTACACTGTTCATTACGTAAGTGTAGCTAATGTGCGAAAGAGGTGAATAGTATATGTTTTTACTATTATAAATATAAAAATTTGGATAACAAGACAGTAGATAAGTGAGTAATAGATGTATAAAAGAAGCATCAAAAATTAAGATAGATGTCAAGGAGGGGAAGGGATGCTAGATCAATGGATACAAAGCAAACAGATTGGAAATAGAATATTGACATATTGTAAAAATTACAATCAATGGCATGAAACAATTTATAAAAAAATTGTTAGAGGAGAATTTGTCTAAACTTTCACTTTAAACACACTAAAATATTATGAAAAATTTAAAAATAAGTGATGCTTGCTAACTACATCCCTCTAGCAGATTTTTGGAGGCTGTAAATTGCAAAGGAGGAGATTGTCCATCTCCACCAGAGATTCATCCCTTCTTTTAGGAGCACAAATCCCTATGGACTACTCCAGCAGAGCTCCTTGGTTTCTTTTTTTTTCTCTTTCTTTTTATTATCAATTTTCATGAAAATTTTCAGAGATTTTGGATTTCCATTCATTCATTGTTGCACTTTCCAACCCTCCCTGTAGTATACTACCCTCTTGGAAAAGTAAAAGAAAAATTCTTTCATTGTTTTACAATCCCTTCCCCCAGGTCCACTCCACTATGCAGCCTTTGTTCTGGAATCCTGTCCTGATAATAATACCTAATCACATATCCCTTTGAAACAGTTCTCTCCCTCATCTGTTTCAATGCAGAATATATATTATTTATACCCTCTTTCTCAGTCTCTACCCAACCCCAATGTCAGTCCTGTTTTACAATAGTGGCACTATGTAGCATTTGTCCTTTTGTGATTGAGATATTTCACTCAGCATAATGTCTCCAGGGTCACCCATTTTACATGAGTTCCTTGTTTTTCAATGCAGTGTAATATTCCATTATGTAAATATAGCACAGCTTCTCTATCCATTCGTTTGTTGATGAGCACCTAGGTTGTTTTCAACACCTTGCTATTGTGAACAAAGCTGCAATAAACATGGGTGTGCATGTATCTGCTTGGGTGTCAGTTATAGTCTCTTTGTGGTATATTCCCAGTAGTGCAATTGCTGGGTCAAATGGTATCTCTATTTGCAACTTTTTGATAAAGCGCCACACTGCCTTCCACAGTGTCTGCACAATTTTACACTTCCACGAACAGTGTATAAGAGTTGCAGTTTCTCCACAATCTCGCCAGCATTTGTTGCTTACTCTTCTGTTAAATTTTGCTATTCTTATTGGGGTGAGCTCTTTGGTTTTTAAGGTGTTTTTTTCTTTAAAAAAAACCCTGAAGATAGTTTTGATTGTTGTTGTTATGTGCTGTCAAGTTGCTTGTGACTCATAGTGACCCTATGTTCAATAGCCCTGAAACCTGCTCTATCCTGTGCCAGCCTTTCCCTCCCAATTTTCCCATGATGCTGTGTAACTAGTATTGTTCTGCTTACATAGAAAAGAACAAATTCGTTATTTATGAGGATGCTTTAGTCACCAAGACTTAATGCAGACTGAGAACAATTAAAAACGTGTGGGTTTCTTAAAGATAAATCACTTGATATTTTAATAACATTGATGGCAAGTTGGGATCAACTCGTAGCTCTCCCTCTGTTGGATTTCACATAAGAGAATGACCAACTTTCTTCCTCAGTGTAGCTGGTGTATTCAAATTGCCATAGAAGTGTAGCCTCCTAAGGCCTATGCTACATAGTTTGAATGAAAGACAAAATTTTCCTCTTATCAGTTTGGATTTTCTTTCTGCTAACTGGAATGGTATAAAGCACATAGCCTCTAAATGCTGGCTCTTCACCCCACCCTGAAATGTACATGCTGTCATTGTATTACTCCCCCCCCCCTCCCATTGTATTACTTTTTAAGTGTTGAAAGTGGAGGTGTCTCAAGTTTTAAAGGGAAACAGGAAGACATGCTAACATGATTGAGAGGTGGTGACTAGAGGTTCATCTCCCTGAGGAACTCAGGGCATGATGCAGACAAACATGGAATGATAGTCTTGTTGGAAAGAAAAAGCTGATACTTTAGTCTTGAAAAGAGTGCATTGTTGCTCAGCTTCTTTGGAAATATCTTGCTTCTTTGATTCACACCTCCCCTCAAGTCAGTCGTGTTTTCTGAATCTAAAACATTATTTACATAACACAAAATTACTATCTGAATACAATTGATTGTTAGTAAGAAAAATGGGCAAATATTTGGAAGATAAAATAGATTATTTGTAAGTTAGAGTTGATGCAAGGTTTGGTTTTGTACTCCTTGAAGTCTCTTGTATATGTTTCTTTAATCATTGCAAACAGCAAAATTCTGAGTAGAGTTATATTAGTTAAATTCCAGAGAGTTGGAGACCTATACATTGTTGCCTGTAGTGATCGTTCATTCATTAATCCACATTAAAGTACCTGGAATTGTTTGCAAAACTCACTATATCCACTTGAATCACAAATTAAAGCTACAAATGACTTTTTCTAATGATACTTTAAGGAGTAGTTGGACAAGATATCAGTCATACTGTGGATGCAATCTGCTTTCTTTGGCAACTTATTATTAAGGTAAAATGAGAGCCCATCTTGATCTTTCCTTCTGCGGGCGGTTCACAGGAATGCCATGAAACTCAAAGTGAGCAAGGAAGGGCAAACTGTTTCCAGTAAAACAGATTCTTTCCTATGTGAATGTAAATATCGATTTTATAAGAAACAAATAGATTTCATTTTACACGTAGACATTTCAATTGTAATGAAGTAAAATTTGAAACAATTAAAATGGTATCGTGTTTGCAGAGGAGTGAGCACATGAAGAAAATAAAATGTGTTTTGGCTTTCTCTAATTCTTTCCCTCTTTTCCATTTGCAGCTATTCTAGAGCAAGAAAATGAACCTGTGGTCCTATCCTTAGGCCCAGAAATCTCCTTAAACAAGTCACAGTTAGATGACTGTCCAAGGGACTCTGGTTGTTACATCTCATCAGAAAATTCAGATAATAGCAAGGAAGATCTGGAGTCTGAAAATCTGCCGGACATGGTACAGAAGATCACTATCACAGCGCCCAGTGACTGATGGCTCATCTTCAATTGTGTATCCATAGTTCCTTTCCATTTTAGATCTTTTTAAGAACAAAAAAAGATCTAGTAAGACAGAACTATTTATAAATACAACTCCAGAGTTAATATGCTTTAGCCTGATGGATTGCGCCCAAACGTTTACATTGGTTATACATTCAATGACTGTTAATATCACATATATTATTTTAAACCTCACTGTTAATACCTTACCTGCCTGCATTAGAAAAGATTAGTATAAATGTTTTGGTAAACATGGCAGATCCTTTATTTACATTCTTTTACAAGAACAACTTCATAAAATTGGCAAAACCCCCTTTATTTGTATATTATTACCTGCTGGTTTTAATTTTGTGTGTATTATTGAATAATTAGAAAGAGAACATGTCTCAACTCACAGTATTGCTTGCAGTTAAGTAGGCTCCGGCTTGTAGTGATCCGATGTACAGTAAATGAAACTCTGCCCAATATTGCACTACCCTCACGATCTGTGCTGTCTTTAAGTTTAGTGTTACAACCACTGTGTCAATTTATCTCAATGAAGGGTCATCCTTTTCTGTGATGAACCTCAATTTTACCAAGCACAATGTCAGTCTGAGTGGACTGGCCCCTCTTCACAACATGTTCAAAATGTGTGGGGCTAAGTCTCACCACACTTCCTGGTAAAGAACATTCTATATGTACTTCAACCAAGTTAGAGTCTTCGCCAACATCACAATTCTAAGCAGTATCTATACTCATTTTAAAATCTGCCTTGGAATTGTGAGTTAGTATCTGATACATTTTATCTTGATCCACAGTTGAGTTTTAAAATTATTTCTGTTGATTTCTTTCTTATGTGATCTAGTATAACATGCAGATAATCATACATTGTCAATTTGCTTTGGGAAAAGTAATTTGAATACTACTTGTAGATATGCTTTGTTTTTGTTTATAAATAGTTTTCATTCTGAAACACTTTAACTTTAAAAATAAAAAAACATGCACATATTGTACTTTCCAGACCAATGTTCTTTAAGATACTTTAATATTACAGTTAGAGAAATTCTCTTACTCTTGACATACTTTTATGCTTAGTCTTTTAAAAAAATAAATAAATAAACCCCAACCTTTGTCTTCGTGATCCCCACAAAGCTTAGACTCTCTCTTAAACTCCAGATCTTTGAAAGTCATCTTTCTGAATGACCCCCAGTGGCTCTATTGGCCAAGTAGCAAGAAGCTGTGCTGTAATCCTGAAGGCACATAGTTCAAATTCACCAGCTGCTCCACCAAAGAAGGATGAACAATATTCCCAGTGATTGAAAACCTGCTGGAGAGTCAGCTGTAGGCCGGTTGTGACTCGATGGTACACAACAGTACAGACATTAATTAAGGATGCTAAAATCCTTGTTTGTCTCTCCAGATTTCCTCTCCAAATCACTTTCTCTTCTACTTCCAACCTTACTTTTAAATCTGACTAGTTACTTAAAGGAGATATTTTTTTTCACACTATTTCATGGCTAGCTTCCTTTAAAATATTTAATAAGTAATCAACTCGTATATTTCTAGAACAGCTTTCATATGTATGGCTTTATCTCCATTCCCATGGTTGCTGTCTTGCTTTGGATGTGGTTATCTCATGTTTGGAGTATTGCTTTCCAATTTTATCTTATTCACTCTGTGCCCTACCTTCAAATTCTTCTAATCCATTTTCCACAAAGCCTCCAGAAAGATCTTTCTAATCTACAGATGAAATTAAGCACTTTCCTGCTTAAAATTTTTGATGGATCTTCATTTTTTTAGAGCAATACTTAATCTTCTGGGATGAACAGAGTCCTTAAAACGTTTATATCTATCACATGAGTCAGATCTTTCATCTCCACGATTGGCTCTACATCATAGTCCTAACTAACACTGTTTGCACTTCCCTGAAGTCACGGTGAACTTTGTGACTTTTCAAATGCTATTTATTTTATGCAAATAATCCTGCTATTTTCTCTAAGACCAGTGTCCCGCTCTTATCTCTCTTCATATTCATGATGAAATTTGCTTAGATTGGTGGTCTCTTATTTGTGCTTCCATGTCATTTGGTAAACATTATTATTGGTCTTAGTACTCATCATTTTATATGTTATATGACATTTGTGTCTTAGCCCCATACCTTTTCAATTTCCATATGCAGAACAGATCATCTGGGATGCTGGGCTCTGTATGGATAAATGAATCCTCAGGATTGAAGGAAGACTCATCAACAATCTGCATTATGCAGATGACAAAACTCTGCTTGCTGAAACTGAGGAGGACCTCAGGTGCTTGCTGCAGAAGGTCAAGTACTGCAGCCTTCAATATGGATTGAAGCTCAACATCAAGAAAACAAAGATTCTCACCACTGAGCTGATTTGAAGCTTCGTGATAGATGGTGAAGAGATGGAGATTGTTCACAGTTTATTTTGCTTGGATCCACAATCAACATTCTTGGTACCAGCAGCCAGAACATCAAAAGATGAGTTGCATTGGGAAAGTCTGCAGTCAGGGACCTTTCTAAAGCATTGAAGAGCAATGATGTCAGTCTGGAGACTAAGGTGTGCCTGATCCAGGTCATAGTCTTTGCAATTACTTGCTATGGGTCAGAAAGCTGGATAATGACTAGGGATGATAGAAGGAGAATTAATGCTTTTGAGCTGCGGTGGTGGTAGAGAAAAGTATTGAATATGCCATGCCCTACTAGGAGGACAAACAAGTTCGTTGGGGAGAGGGTTAAACCAGGCTGTTCCTTGGAGGCAAGGATTCTGAAGCTTTGTCTGACATACTTTAGACATGTTGCAAGGTGGGACCTGTCATTGGAGAGGGACATCATGCTTGGGAGTGTGGAGGGATAGTGCAAGAGAGGAAAACTCTGGATGAGATGGATTGACTCGATGACTGTGGTAATGGGGTAGATGTGTCAGACAATGACGTTGGCTTAGAATAGAGTAAGGTTGTACATAGGGTTGCTATGAGTCACAAGTGACTCAACAGCACATAGCAACAACAGCAACCATAACATTTGCCCTTCCACAAACTTGGGACCTCTTGAGACAAGATTATTTTATCTTTTTAAGTCTGTGTTACATAAATGACTTTGGGCAATCTCCTCCCAAGTGATTAACGTCCTCTGAAAATCAGCCAGAAGGTCAGCTCTGAGTTGATTCTGACTCTATGGTACAGAGCAACAGAAATGGTAGCCTAGTGATAAGATTCTGAACTGCAATCCCAAAGGCATACTGTTCAAATCCATGAGCAGGTCCACAGGAGAAGCATGGACAATCTCTTCCCAAGCTATTACTGCCTATGAAAATCTGCTAGAGGGTAAGCTATGGGTCAGTTTTGACTCAATGGCACACAGCAACAATAGTGTCACACAAAAGGCATTTAGAAAGTGTTCATTATGGTACCTTAAAAATTATTATTAGCACCACAACAAGATAAAGGTAAACAACTCAACTGAAAAATGGGCACAGGACATGGACAGACACTTCACCAAAGAAGACATTCAGATGGCCAACAAGCACATGAAGAGATGTTCAAAATCCTTAGCTCTAAGAGAGATGCAAATCAAGACAACTATGAGATATCATCTCACCCCAGTAAGAATAGCAAAATTTAACAGAACAGCAAGCAACAAAGCAACAAATGCTGGAGAGGTTGTGGAGAAACTGGAACCCTTATTCACTGTTGGTGGAAGTGTAAAAAAAAATGGTGCAACGACTATGGAAGGCAGTATGGCGTTTTCTAAAAAGTTGCAAATAGAAATACCATTTGACCCAGTAAATCCACTACTGGGAATATACCCAAAGAAATCATATCCAGCACCCAAGCAGACACATGCACGCTCATGTTTATCTTGGTTTTGTTTAGAATAGCAAAGAGTTGGAAACAACCTAAGTGCCCATCAGCAAACAAATGGATCGAGAAGCTGTGGTATATTCACACAATGGAATACTATGCTGCATTGAAAAACAAGGAACTCATGAAATAGTACTCAAAATGGATGACCCTGGAGGACATTATGCTGAGTGAAATATCTCAGTTACAAAAAGACAAATATGGCATAATGCCACTGTTATAAAAGAGGACTGACATGATTAGATATAATTGTTATGACAGGAGTCCAGAGGAAAGGTAGCATAGTGGAGTGGTTTTGGGGGGAGGGATGGAATAACAATGAAAGAATTTTTTCTTTTACTTTTCAAAAATGAAAAGTGAATTGGCGGTGGGCAGGGAAAAAAGTGCAACAATGAATGAATGGAAATTCAAAATCTCTGTCAACTTTCATTAAAATCAATTTTTTAAAAAAGCAAAAAACATTGAAGGAAAATTATTTTGTGCAACAAATGTAATGCTCCAAGTGAATACATGACCTTTGACAAATCAATAAAGGAAAAGAAAAGAAAAACAAGGAACTCATGAAATATTATACAAAATGGGTGACCCTGAAGGACATTATGCTAAGTGAACAATCTCAGTCACAAAAAGACAAATATAGGGCCATTGTAAAATGGTGTTGAGGGAAGACTGAGAAAGAGGGGATAAATAATGTATACGTCATTGAAACAGATAAGGGAGAGAACTGTTAAAAAGGGATATATGATTAGGTATTATTGTCATGACAGGAGTCCAGAATGAAGGCTTCACAGTGGAGTGGACTTGTGGGGAGGGACTGTATAACAATGAAAGAATTTTATTTTTCAAAGAGAAGAGCGAATTATGGGGAGGACAGGGTGAGCAGGGAGAAAAGTGCAACAATGAATGATTGGAAACCCTAAGTCTCTGTAAACTTTCATTAAAATTAATAAAATAATAATGATTATTACTCTTTATTCCATTTTCATATGTAGTCTGTTCAGACTTAAAAATAATACTCTTCCAAAGCTGTCTAAGTTTTTTTGAGACACATAAAACATATTACTTTCAGAAAAATTAAGAAATAAAAAGTCTTCTTTCCAATGCTGGAGGTATTGCAGTAATGTCTACTAGTAC